TGATTTGCATCTTCGAGCGCCTACATTAGCCTCCCTAGTTCAAACTAGCGGGGTAATGTAGGCATACCGCACTTGCAAATGAAGCCCGGGATTTGAATTTCCCGGGCTTCATTTGCAAGTGCGGTATGCCTACATTACCCCGCTAGTTTGAACTAGGGAGGCTAATGTAGGCGCTCGAAGATGCAAATCAAGCGAGGGATATTTAAATCCAGGGCTTGATTTGCATCTTCGAGCGCCTACATTAGCCTCCCTAGTTCAAACTAGGGGGCTAGTGTAGACATACACTGAGAGAGCTTCTCTTACTTCTGAAATACTGGTTCACCGACAGATGCTACAGATCTTTTTTAAATACTCTTATTACACCCTTAATCTCCCCCTCCTGAAATACAGTATTTTATAAACAAAGAGTCCTGTGGGATCTTAGGGTATGTCTACACTACCCTCCTAGTTCAAACTAGCGGGGTAATGTAGGCATACCGCACTTGCAAATGAAGCCCGGGATCAACTTCTAGCTGCATTTGGAGCTTGGGGACTTTCTGAGATGGGGCACTGGGGCAGGACATTAAAAATTGGACTAGCCCAGAAAATTCAGGCAGGATGGTCTGCATATCCATTAGTGAGTGCCCAGGCAAGTTAAAATGTTTTCCAGCAGGTTTCTGTGTGTTACCATTTCAGATATCTGACTTGTATCCATTAATCCTTTGTCATAGAGACTGTATAGTTTGGCAAATATATATGGCAGAGGGGCATTGCTGGCACTTGATGGCATAGATCGAATTAGTGGGTGTGCAGTTGTATGAGCCTCTGATGTGGTGGCTTAGGTTAAGTGCTGTAATGATGTTGCTTGTATAGTTGTGTGGACAGAGTTGGCCCCCAAGTTGATTGCAGGGGTGCCTTCCTGGGGGTATGTCTACACTACCCTCCTAGTTCGAACTAGGAGGGTAGTGTAGACATACCCTTAGAGAATAACAGATTTAATAGGGCATAAGTTTTCATCAGATAAGTTGGAGTGAAAATTAGAGGCAGGGGTGTGTATATATATATATATATGAGAACAACAAAAGAAGTTACTTGTCAAGTGTAGGACCAGTGTTAATGAAACTAATCAAATCAGGGTTGATGTCTCATTTGCAGCATTTTATGTGGATATCTGAACATCAAGAGAGGGGAAATTGCCATAGATACTCTTAGATCTAAGTACATAAGCTAGGGATGTTAAATTTCGATTAGTCAGTAAGGGGGGCGCTCACTATCCTGCTGCACCTCTGCCTTTGAAGTGTATAAGAGCTGCCTGCAGCTCTTGTACATTTCAAGGGAAGAGATGCAGCAGGGATGAAGCAGTCCCAACTGCTGTGCCCCTCCCTTTGAAATTAAATGGAATTTCCATCGACTACTCAATTAGTCTATAAGGCGAGGCACTTGCTATCCCACTGCGCTTCTGCCTTTGAAATGTACAAGAGCCAGCTCCCCCCAGCACTGGCTCCTGCTCCCCCCAACCCTTGCTGCCTCTCTTTGATAGAGGCAGCAACGGGGGTAGGGGGGAAGCAACTAGTCAAGTAACTACACAACTACCGATAAGTATATGTTTACATCCCTAATACGAGCATTTAACAAGTATATGAACATTTACCATCTTAGCTAGAGAAACTAGTTTTCTTTGTCCAAAGCCTAGTCGTTTCATAAATCTCTACGTACATTAGATGCTTGAGTGGGATTAGAACCACACTGATATTGTGGATTTTAGTTGAATAACTCTGGTTTTTTTACCTGAACAGACTGAAAGTTCCTTGGAACAGGGACCCAAACAGTCTTCCATTCTACATAATGCCAAGTATTTTTGGCACTTAGCAAATGAACAATCATGTTAAACACATAACACCAGGGGTTCTCAAACTTTCTGATACCACGACCCCTTAAAATGCTAAATAAATTTGTGTGACACAAACACCCCTCACTGCTCTGGGTCGCTTCCTCCCCCCTTCTCACCAGACCCCCTGCCTGCTAGGGTTCCTTCAAGGCGTTTGCGGACCTCAACGCCCTTCCCCCCCGCTGGCTCCTTCCCCTCATCTCTTTCTCCTCCGTGCCTCTTTTCCGCTCCTTGTCCCTTTGGTGTTTGTTCTTTCTTTCTCCTCTCCTCTGACCCTCGTGCCCTTATTTACCTCCAGGCATCCCCGACCCAATCCCCCAGTCCGCTGCCTGAGGGACCCCGCCCTCTCCCAGCTGGGGAAGCATTCTGTCGCCTGGCAACCGTGCCCTGGCCAGCCCCTCGCACGTCCGCTCCTGCACCGGCCTCACTCTCCCGCCGCCTTGCCGCCTCCTGCAGCTGAGCCGCGCTACTGGAGTCCCATGGCCCTGGCCATGCTGCACGGCTTGCCGGCGGCTGCCTTCCGCCGCCCTGCCGCTCTTTGCAGCCCCGGGGGAAAGGGTTTGCAAATGAAAAACCTAATCCAGCTGCGACCCCCCTCTAAGTTGCTTGCGACCCCTCTGGGGGTTGGGACCCACAGTTTGAGAAACTCTGCATAACACTGTTAAGTGTATTGTGTGACATGAGCTTCCCTCCAATTACAATCAACTTTGTCAGAGGATACTTCATCTGTTCTACTTTCATTTTGATTTGTTTCTAGTTAAATCCCAGGCAATGTCTATGCTACAACCTTTGTCAGCATAGGATATGTCACTCAGGAGTGTGAATAAACCCTTGAGTGACATGAGTTACATTGTCCTTTTCATATGTGTTCATTTTTTTAATTGTATCCTTTGGTATATATGGTTGTGACTATTTTCTTCCACTATTTGATCTGAGGAAGTGGGTCTGGCCCACGAAAGCTCATCATCTAATAAACCATCTTGTTAGTCTTTAAAGTGCTACATAGTCCTGTATTTTGTTATTGATTTAAGCATTAGTGTATATATCATTGTCAGTGGAAGAGCTTCTCCACTTCTAGTGAAGGATTTCAAGTTTTCGAGACAGGGCTCCAAATAAATTATTTCATACTTCTAGTTTATCTTAAGCTTTTCCAAGTCCTGTCATGAGACTCTGCATTTTTTCAGTGGCAAGATGGCAACTTTAGTTAACCCATTCAAATAGTTTTGTGCATATTCCAAAAAAGCCTGATTCAAGTTAGCTGTAGTTAGTTTTTACATTGTTTACTTGATTATGATTAAGCAGTCTCCTGTTTATTGCATATAATTTGGCACTGGTGTTGGATCAGATGAGCAAGGAATATGGATCATGAAGAAATCCCTTGGCAAACATATCCTAGTGATATGTTGTTATTGTATTTCGTGTTAACCCCTTGAGAGCCCTGCGCTGCCACAGCCTAAGGAGCTTTCTTTTAGGGAAAATATGCATTTTTATAAATAGTGTATGGTTTAGCTTCATTGGAATCAACAAATGCTAGATCTATTTGGTTGTGTGTAGCAAATCACTCAAATGTACTGTTCACAGGAAGAAATAATCTATCATTGTTGGATATTTGCTATACTAATTAGGTAATAAAAATAAATGTGTACTGTTTAAAAAAAGGCAAAAATATTTGAGCTGTGAGAATGAAGTTGTTTCTCCTGTCATACTTTTATATAAAGCATCCAGAGAGCTACAGATTAAGTGCCAGTTAGTCCTGCTTGGTTTAGTATAGGATGCACAACATTAGAATGGGTAGTAGAGCCTTTTATCTTCCATCATGTAGTGGAACAGGACTTTTAAACATTGTGGGGACATACTTGAGTAATATTTGAGTTTAGTACAATTTCTCTTGATTCCTAGAAGTGCACCATTTCTCATAGAAGTTTGTCTACTCAGAACATTCTTTCATGTTTTGTTTGCTTTTTAAAAACTTACTCTGCTGTTGGAAAGCCATATTCCTCTGGATGTGTTATGAAACCCACAGTATGAGTGGTACTTGTTTCACAAATAGAGATGAAAGTCCTCAAATATGACAGCTTTTGGGACTTTTGTAGTTTAATCAATGTTCCTTGTGTGTTTCATTTATGTTGGTGAGGAATGAGCTAAAAATGTCTTTAACAAAACAGAATCTTTAAAAAGAATATGTAGGTTTCGGTTTCAAAGAAAGTAATCCTCAGCATCAGATGTGACTGTTAGAATGAAAGAACTATGCAATATGTCCCCAAGTTTTAATTTCATGTTGTAGTAATTTTTGCTGATCAACAAAACAGCAGTGTCTGAGAGAACTCACTGTCAGCATGAAATAAGCCTCCAACTAGAAAAGGCCTTAATTTCTAATGGGGAACATTTGGGGTGTTGTGTGCAGAACTGCAGAGTCAAAGAGTTTTTAACATATTCTGAAGTGCAGGGATTTGGCTCATCTTCAAACATTTGTAACTACAAAAAGATGGATAATCTTTCAAGTGTATTTGCCCCATTTAGGGGCAAGAATGAGAAAATTCATTACAAAAAGGTAAATGCAAGAGGATGTAGCCGCATTTCCAAGGTATGCAAATGTATGGTTTTTAACTTCACTGACAGAGGATTTCTGCTCCAGTTTAGGAAATCAAAGGTTGATTTCTACTGCATCTCATTTTCCTACTTAACTGCATAAATGTGGTATGTGGCATAGATAGTCAGGCTTGAATTCTGGCTTTCTTTTACTTGAATTGAAAACTTTATTGCTAAGAATATAGCTCTGCCAGTTTCCTAGTGTAATTCTTGAAAGTCTCCTGGTGAGAAGTGTGTCTTACAGTGTACACATTGTGATTCTTATTAATAGCTTTGTAAATATAGTTATAATTTGAGTTGTCTGTTGAATGTATTTTCTGTTCTTATTGTAGTGGACACCACCCAGTGACTTGGGAGAAAAAGGATTTTAACTTTCAGGCTTATAGTAAAGTAAACCTCTACTCAAAATTTTGTCATTTTAATCACATGCATATAATGCTGTCTGCCATTTTTCTAACAGGAATAAATATTTAAAGACGTTGCCACTAGTTTGATTTCAGTGTAAAATGCATTTATTTATACTATTTTTTCCTGTCTCCCAAAGGTGCTCTTACAGAGTGCTATGATGAACTGGGCAACAGGTACCAGCTTCCAGTTTACTGCCTGGCCCCACCTATCAATATGATAGAGGAAAAGGGAGACCTGGAGACTCTAGATATTCCTGATCCACCACCCAATTCTGGGCATGAATGCCAGCTTCGCTTGCGCCTCTCAACTGGCAAAGACCTCAAACTTATGGTCCGCAGTATGGACACAGTATATCACATGAAGAGGCGATTGTATACAGTGGAAGGAGTCGAGCCCAGCAGCCAGCGCTGGTTCTTCTCGGGCAGGCCACTCGCAGACAAAATGAAACTGGAGGAGCTGAAAATCCCGAAGGATTATGTAGTGCAAGTCATTGTGAGCCAGCCCTTAGCAAATCCAACTCCAGTGGAAAACTGATTCTGCTTGCTTATGGATTCTCCATTCCTCCTCCTCTATCACATCGGATTATTTTCACTGCTCTTATTTTTTCTGATAATTGATTGGCTCCAAGAAATGACTAGCAAAAATTCCATCTGTGATGGAGATCTGCAGAAACAAAACACAAATGTAAGATGACCCTTGGGATTTGCCCAATCTGATGTTTCTTAATATCACAAAAAGAAACACATGGCAAAGTCAATGAAAGTTGTGTGCAAGGCAGAAGTCTGTCATTTAAACAATGACATCCTGTTATGATGCTTAGAACTGTAGGTGGAGTATTGATCCATGAAGAAAGCACTTTAAAAAAAAAGAGAAAAAAAATAAACCAAATTATAGTACTTCATGAAATCGGCACCACTTACAGTTCAAGACATGTAGCTGTTCTGGTAGATCCACCTTGCTAGGTACCTATGATGATTGTTTTGGTTTAATTCATGTGCTGTATCAGATTACTCCTGTGGTATAGTGAATCTTATCCAGAGAGAGATGGACTGAATTCATCCAGAGAGATGGACTGAAGATCAGATATTGTAGTGTTCTATCAATGCTGTGTTCCATCCCAAATGTGGCTCAGTGTTCAGACCAACCTGTTTTAACACATTCCAAGATGGTGATAAATGGGCTTGTACCATTTTGAGGCTTCAGTGTTTGGTAAATACTGCCTTTGGGAGCATTAGGCAATAATTTAGGAAATCTGTACACATTTTAAAAAATCATTTATGTACTGTACTGTAAAGTTACTTGCTACAATGTTGACTTTTGCTGCCGTTTTCTCTGTCATTGGCACCTGAGTATGTGCCTACTAAAATACTGTACCCATCTTGACCTGTAAAACAGACTATTAACAAAAGTCTAGCTAATTACAAGAGGGACACTGATACAGGAATAAAAAACAAACGCACAACATTTATCAGTTGACCTTGCTATACCAGCCTACAATATTTCCACATACTCAGTTACACCCAAGTATGATTGAATGCAATTTTCCCCTTGCTGAATTCTCCAAGGGTGCACACGATGGAAAATCATAGAAAGTAGACTATAAATCACACTACGTTCAGTTGTTCAGGACCTCTGTTTCCATTCATAGGGACATTTCATGAATCTGTGTTGGAGGACTTGGTCGCTTTCAACACATTCACTGTAATGCATCTGGAGCTTAGGATATAGTCACCAGGTTTAATATCTGACACTTTCCCTTCAGAATATAAAAGGGTCCTTTTTTCTGGAAACAGCCACTTCTGTTGCAGTGTCTTTTGGTAGTTTTTCACCTAACAAAAGAATTAATGGGGTAATGTTGAAAAAAGTAGTATAATTGAGGAGTTACGGCCATGTTAAAAGAAACTGATCTAGTTCCTTTGGCTGCTCAGGATCTCTTGGAGTCCGGGGTATAGGGTATATCCGTCTCCGAAGCTATGTCCCTCATTCCTATTATAAACACATTTGATTTTAGTTTTTCAGTCCTCATGCACTCAAATTATGCATTTCCTACCAAACCCCTGGTTTTGCCTATTCAGACATGGCTCATTGTATTGCTTTCTACCATATCTAAATCTAAAATTGCCCAGAATGACTTTTATTCCACTGATAGTGGAGTCACTATTGTAGCAGGGACACTTTCAAACTTGAGTGAAGAGAGCTACTTTAATTCTGTACAACTTAGTGGGGAGGGTTGTTTACTTTATGAATATCAGTATAAAATTGGAACTAGCACAGTTCATTTGAAATTCCCAGCTCACGAGGCTTTCCATATCACTCTAACCTTTTTAATCTGTTTGCTGGCTAGGTGGCACACTTGGTTTAGTACACTACTCTTTCATTTTTGGAAGTTCATATTTGATACCAAATCATGCAGGAGCTTTACTTTTATCATTGTCCCCATGTTGCATGCCACAAAACTACAGTGCTACTTGGCACAACTCGCTGTCAGATCTACTCAAGGTAGGCTGACACCTAGTAAAATAATAAGTGCAATAACAGGTTTGTATATATGGTGGAAGCCATATTATTTAGTTCCTCATTTTTGCAAGCATCAAATGGACTTCTACATTGTTCTGTTAAAAAGGGCAAAATTTTTGCTTAATCCCTGACTTGCATAGAGCCTTTGGATTTTTTCATAAAGGGTGTTACATTTGCAAAAATCTGAATTTTAAAGACAAAATCCAGCTAATGTGCAGTGATTCTTTTGCATCTTCAAGGGGAAAATAATACTGGATTTCTGCACTACCACCTTAAACATCTCATGGATTTTCACTGTTCAAATGGTGCCTGGTAAGACTAGATTGTTTTGTTTTATAAAATAAATGTTATACTTTATCTAAGCAACACATAGTCATTTCATACCTGGAGCAGCATGTCATGTTAAACTTATACATTTTTGTTTTAAACTGTGTTTATGATGGGGTTGTTCTAGAATCAATTCTGGAAAAGTGTTTGTGGGAGGAGCGGGGAGTTACAGCTGTAAAGAAACAAAGCTGTAAACAAAGAAACAAAGTACGATACATGAGTTTGTATCTCTCAATATCCTTTTATAGAATACCTTTCCAGAGCTCATTTGAGGTGTTTTATTAAATATTTTTTATATTATAGGTTTCTGACAAATAACTGAAATGAATTTTCAGACCTACTTTGAAAAAGCATCACCTGTAGTATGCTATACTGTAACATGTAACAGGTTTATGTCAAGCATTTTGATGGAGAGAGAAGGCTATCTAAAGGATTTTGAATTGACCCATCATGCACATAGGGGTGAGCATTGCTGGATTTGATCACCCATGGGGCCGTTGAATAGAAAACATACTTGCCTTCCTCTCTCCCTTCCTGTAAGCACAAATCTCAAAATTAAGCAATCAATTTTTTTAAAGGTGAAAGTGATCCCCATCTTGATAAACTGATAACTTTATTTTTTGAATATAGAATATATAATTGGAAACAAAAAAAATCATAAGATCCATATTAATGAAGAATAATGCTTCTAACAAGGAGGTCATTTCTGAAAATACGCATGTCTGTGTTCATGCTGATGAATGTATGGTAAGTGGCTATATGCATTCAATGAACACTCTTTTCCCATTTATCTATAAACGACCATGTTTTGTTTTCTTTCAAGATCCCCAGCTATAAAAACAGAAATGAACAGGACAACGATCTACCGCAAACAAACTTACACCATTTCCACAGGACTCAATGGGAATTCTGTGCTTGCATCCCAAAGCAAAGTCAGGGCTAATGTGTAGCATTAGGATAAAGGCATGAGATACCTTTCTGGGGCAAGAAGAAGGAAAAGCAGAACTTTGTGGGTTGATTTGGATTTGCAAAGTCTGACTAGAGAATGCAGCTTCATGGCCATGCTATCCTCCCCTCGCAATTGCAGTAAAAAAGTCCAGTAAGGCGCAGGGCTGAGTTACTGATGGCCACAAACTCTAAGCAATTTTTGTTCATCTCTGAAGGAAAGAAGCATGAGCCCATGCTGTTCTATGCTTTTTTATTTGAAAATGTGTACTCAGATTCAGTATGGCCTTTGTGCTACGGACAAGTTTCCAATGTAGCGTTCATTGTCTTATAGATTGGCCACCGCATCACTATGCAGTATCTTCAGACAGGAGTGTACTATTTGGGAGTATTTTGATAATGTATACACAAAAGGTCACATAATCAAGTGAGGCGTAATAGGGTAAACTTTTCATTAGCTCCATAGACCTTGTGTGTGTCACTCTTAATTAGCTATGGCCAAGAAGTGATGTTAGTAGAATATATTTTTACTTTCTTATGTCAGTGACATGTCTCTTTAACGCAGAGCTGCGAAGACTTTTATGCTTGTTATTGTAAAGGTGTCCCTGATACCTGACCCAGAAGTAAGGGACTGGCTAAAGTCTACACTCTAAAAACAGCTTTAATGGCAGAGAATCCGCAACACTACTATAGTCTGGGGAAAATTACCAGAAATGAGAAATATTGTATTACTAACTGTTACAAAGTCAGGGTTAGATTATCCATTAGGCACAATGCCTAGGGCCTACAAAAAGGTAAGAGCCTAAAAGAATTCATAATTAACTCGAAAATAAGAAAACTGCTAAATCAAACTTAAAATGTTCTATCTTTAGTCAACAAACAGCATACAAAGAAGTGCAAAGTTATACCTCATGAGTCAAAGCACCCTCACAGTATGTGCAATGCTTTGGGTTACCCACTGTGATGCTTTGGGGTTCAAGCTAGCCCCAAAAGAGGTGTTGTAACTGCCTGCCCTGAAGCTCTGGGTCTCTCAAATGCTCTGCTGCTGTGGCTCATAGCCCTGACACCAAGAGCTGGCAGCAAGCATCCAGGTCATATGCCCTGTCTTCTTCTGCCTAGTTACTTTTTTCAGGGTGACCCCAACATCCTTCCAGTGCCAGATTTCTTCAAAACAGTCTGCCCTGTAGCGTCCAGCCTTCTTTTTTGAACACTTGCAGAAGTTAGGTGTTCTTTTAAAGAGACAATACACTGCAGCTGATTTACATAACTGGGGTTGGCAAATGTTCCACTTTAGTCAAAGTGCTGAGTTGGCTTATGGTAAAAGTAAAACAGTGGGTTTTTTTGTTTGTTTGTTTTTTTAACTAAAGGTCATAGGTGTAAATGATATCAAATAAAAAGAATGGAGATACAAATGGTTACAAATCAACAAAAGTAAAACAATGCTTCTAAGATGAAAATTTACATTAATCAGCTAAAGCTCTTGTTCAAGATGGTTTTACTATTTACAGCAACTTCTCCAATGTGACTTACTGTTCCAGCCAGGATCCGCTCTTACAGAATCAAAGTGCTGGTTTTATTGGTCCTTAAGAGAGAGAAAGATTTTGGGTTCTCTCCCCTTTCTTTTTATACTCCAGTAATCCTTTGAAATGCATTCTTTGAGAAGTGAACCCAAACAAAGCATCTCTGTTGCTGGGGGATAGATGCTCTGCTGTTTTCCCAACATTCACCTACCCTGTCTCAAGGGGGAGGAAGGCTTCCTGTTGCAGTCTCCATTCTTGTTATGATTAAGTGATCGCCTGTCCCCACTTGCTCTCCCGATGGCTTTGTTCACCTTGCATGTAAACGTGCCTTTCTTGATCTTTGATCACGCCTTCTTATTTTAGAATGAAGTACCATGAATTGCTTACATGGTACGTCACTTTCAAGAGCAAAAATTAAAGTGGGCAGTATTAGGCATATACTCAATAGGGCATTACTCCCTTATATTGTGTATATATAATCTAATTTAAAGGCCTACAATTATGAGAGTGCCTAGGCCCCTGTAAAGATCTTAATTCGGCCCAGCGTACAAAGTATTTT